CATAAAAAGCATACACAATGATTTATCATATTTGTATTTGTTATGAATAGGAGTAAAGTAATAGAAATAGATTATTAGTAATTACCATCAATATTGTAAATTTTAATAAAACATGACAAATATAATCCAAAGTCAATGAGATATAAAGAATATTCTGTAGTAAATATAGTTAACGTTTAATGAAATGCGATATCATTTATAAATACATGGATATACTGTACTAATTGAATCCAACAAATATTTCAGATATTGTGTAAATATAAATAAATACTAGTTTAACAATTAAGTGGTAAGTATGTCAGGATTTAAGTAAATTGATAAATAAGTATAGTATAAGAATCGTAATATTTTTAATATTAATAATTTTTAAAAAAGGTTTTCTACTACAGTATAATAACCGAGTGATTGATTCATGCATTAAATGCTTATTATTGAAGCTATAGAGCAAAGGATTGAAGTTTACGAAACATATGATTAATACCTGCGAAGACTTACTGTATGTAATGTAAGCATACGTTTACGTATTAATTACACATCTTAACCTATAATTTATTTATTAAACTTTTAAAGTATAACTTCTTATAGGAATTACACATCACAATATTAAGTCATTGTAATCACACAGGTGAATAAATTCATTTTATTTTGTAAACTAAACGTCAGATTTTTGCAAATTGTTAATTAGCATGGCTAATTATAGGGATAAGAATATTGTACGAAATATTCTTAAAATAAAATTATCGTGGCAATTAATATACAAAACGAATTTATCTTGAATTTTAATTACTATTTAATAAGAAATATCTGATAATTAATCTAAATAATTTAGAAATTATTCTAAATTTAATAAATATATGAAAAGATTTGTAAAAAATATTAAGCAAATAAAATATAATTAAAATAATAAAAATAATATTTGTAAAAAACCTAATGATAGATAATAAAAATTAAAAGAAAGCACAAAAATATTGAAGTCAAAGTTTGTGAGTATAAAGAGTGCACAGAAAATTGGTTGAATGCACAGTGCGTTCAGTACAGTTCAGTATAGGAGAGTCAACACTACTGTACTCTATATTGCAATCAATGTATCACTCATTCATTGCCTCTGAAAGTGTATTAAACTTTGTTTACGTTATTTGTGTGTCAAAGGCCTCTGCAGTGAGTGTGCGCCACATCTATGCCATAGCCATGAATAACGTGTTTCGGGCACAGAGTTGAGCACCGATTGCATTGCAGCGCAACTCAATGGACGCGAAGGGCATTGGGAGCGGAAAGGGAGCGAAAAGGGAGCGCATCGTGCGATACTTGCGGCCGTAGTGTATGGCTGTGTGTGCGAGTGTTTGCCCATTGATTGTGGGGTTCTTATGCAGCGTTTGTCTGATCGTCAGTCTCTACGATAGGTATTGATGTGAATGAGTGCTGCTGTGAAGGGATGGCCGACGCCTATCAGTGACAATGACTTGTTGTGCGCACTGACTGTCCACTGACTGTCCACCCAATGGCACAGTTGGCCACCGATGCCACCCAACAGTGAGTCACAGTGCGGGTCAGCCCACGTGTGAGAGTGCGAGTGAGTGAGTGGCCAGTGATGGCAGTGGTGGGGCCGACGTGTCGGTCGGGATCAGGTGTGGCCATCGCCGCCGCAAACAATAGACATTCTGCGCAACACATGAGCGCGTCGTCGACGGCGCACAACCACCACAACAACCCGTCGATGGCGTCGATGGTGGGGTCGGGCGTCGGGACGGCTGTCCACACACTCCATACGCAACACAACGCTATCTTAGCGGCCGCTCAACCCTTCTATTCAAACAGCCATTCCCTGAACACGCAGGACATGCAACCCGACCGACCCATCGGTTACGGGGCCTTCGGAGTGGTCTGGTATGTGATCCCTGTCCACATGTATATCCCTAAGCATTGCATGTCTTTGTGTGCTTTGTATGGTTGAAGTGCACCTAAAATGCTGTTAAACTGCAAACACAACAATACGGGGCCTTCGGAGTGGTCTGGTATGTGATCCCTGTCCACATGTATATCCCTAAGCATTGCATGTCTTTGTGTGCTTTGTATGGTTGGAGTGCACCTAAAATGCTGTTAAACTGCAAACACAACAAACACTCCAATACTCGGACTCTTTGTTTGACTCTCGACTCGCACGAGAAGTCTATTGCCTTTAATGAACTCCAGACCCAGTCATACAGTCCTACAGTCATCCCATATCCCTATCCCAGAGCTTCTCCTATCGCGAGGTGCTATCGTCTATCACTAGTCGTTGAGACACTTCTCTTTGTCTCAAATCATGAGTATATTTATATGTAATTTAGTTTTAATTCATTTATTTTCGCCAAATGTATGTATCGTTGAAATACACGCACAAAACTGGGAAACTAGTTATCAATGGTTTTGACTGGTTGTGCGAAATGCAGTGCAAAGCGAGTCAATACTTCTCAATAGTCTTTGTTCTCAATATATTAGTGAACAATAAGTGTTGCACTGAATCGGCGGTCATTTGGTTTTGTATGCTTTCATTGATTAGTCCATTAATTGGGCACCAATTTTGAGTGAATGGGTCGGCAATGGCTGGCTAATGGCACCGATAGCTATAGCATCGATGGACTAGTTGTCTCGGGTGCCCAACCATTGCAATCGCTGCTACGATCGCTACTATAGGCAACTCGTGTCCTCATTTTGAATGACAAATGTAGTGATTATTTGTTAAATACTTTATTTGAATTTGAGTTTTAGATCAAATAATTGGCGTTATTTGTCGCCAAAATGTCTTTTATGACCGAAAAACATATTAGTTTTGTATTAATTTTGCGATTAGTTTTTGTTTGAGTCGAAAGACTTTTTTTGCGGAGTCTTTGCGTTTGAGTGTCGATTATAATGAGTCAAAATCGATAAGAGAAATATTTGTCGTCACAATAGATATGAATTAAAAGTTTTGTGGGTTTTCTGGCTCTTTCTCCGCTCGTTGGACGACAAGTCTGTATTAGATTTTGTTTTGTGGGGCGAGTATTGGGTCTCGAAATTTAGGCATTGCTTTAGAAATGGAGTGAAAGGGAGGCCAAAATGGATCGACAAGTAGTTGAGTGTATATCGTATGGGAACACCTGCTCCTCAAGACAGGCTCTCCACTGGCTCCGACACCACAAGTTTTTGCAGACTCTCTGCAATGTGTCTCTCAGAGTCTGAGCTGAAAACTTGCCAAAAGTTTTTGTGCAAGTTTTAGGTCCAACCAAACAGTGGACATCGCATTCTTGAGGCGTTGGGTCAGTGTATGCGAGGCTTTGTGTGCAGGAAATGCTTGTGTTGTGTCGACAACAATGGCTATAATGACTCGTTTTGGACGATAACACGAATAATAATTATTGCTTTTTTTCTGTCGGACATTGGCTCGCATTTTATTCACAAATATTTTTGTCGTTTCTTAAGATTTTGTAGTTTACTTCTCTCGCATACGACTGTCGGGAGTCTATTGTACCACAAAGAGTAGGCCTACTATTTCGGTGTCTGTACTCCACTGACGTTACAAACGAGACTTGTTTTCTCACATGAATTCCTATAAGTGTAACCGAAAATTAATGTAAAAATTTGATTAAAACACTAGAAATGCAATCCAATTATATATATGGATATAAATATTAGTTTAATAAATGAGCGATGCATTCATATTGGCTAAGGCTATGAATGAAAAATTGATTTGAAAGCTATTAATAATTTTTGCCAAGTTTTAAAAATCTCTTTCAGATCTCGTTTGAGGCCTATATTTGCGAAAAGTATTTCATTCCTCAATAAAAATGTGTGCTTTTTATGTGTTGAGCGCAGTCTAAGCCTATGTCTAAGTCGTCCTCATTTATAAACTATAATTAAATTCCAATAATTAGAAAATACATGCCTTTGAATACTTAATTACGAGTAGTATTTGACTCTAATATATGTTTTTTGTTGAATACAGATTTCTTGCCAGTTAGGAAGTTTGAGTTAGTTTTTTGAATGCAAAAATTTAGTCCAATATTAAAACGTAAATTCAATTGTGATTAATGTCTCCGTAAAGTTGTATTTTATCCGCAATTTGTAGATAATTAATCCATACATCAAATATATATTTAGCATTTGGTTTAGAAGTTATTTTGAATATTAAATAATTTTTGCGCTGATTTTAAGCATCTTGTTTTTAATCAACTCTTAGATGACTATAAAAACTGTATTAAAAAACTAAATGTAAAATTAGTTTTTCATTATTGATGTCCCGAAATAATCGCTCAAATTATGGCTCAAATGTGTTTGCATTGCAAATCGTGAGATTGTCTTTGAAATCAATTTATTTTTAACTCGTATTTAATTTTTTTATTAATTAAAATCAAGGATTGCTTGTTATATAGGATTTTTGTGAGTCAATGAGTGCATCGTTTTTATTTGATATCTGTAAATAAATTTTAAAAATGTATTTTGTGCTAGAAATTTAGGATTTTATACATAAAAAGGCATTATTTTGTCAAATTTGATGATAGCTTTAAATCATACGAAACAATGTAATGCTAACGAAAAGCCTAAATATATTTTTCCGTAATTTAATTGCAAGCCTATTATTAGATCTCAGATAACTGTCCAATAGATTGAGGCTTTGAATGGCAGAAAACTAACGAAATTTTTTGCATTTTTTACTTGACGTCTGATATCTGCACCAAAAAAAATTATATTCAAATTCATAAGCAGTTCCGCCAATGAGTTAAACGGATTTCAATGCATTTTGTTTCTCTAATAAGTTATTCAATTGTTTTGCCAAATATATGGGCCACTGATTAGTGCCACAAATTTGGGCTTAATTTCCAGTCTTTCTCGGAGCGCAACATATGCACTGAAATTAATATTTTCTTTGAGATTATAGCAGTTTTTTGAAGCAAATAAATATAATTATCAACACATCTATGAAATGAGATAATAATTAAGTTTTTTTCAATGATATTTCGTTTGCAAAATTTTATATGAAAAATATTAAATTTAAAAGTTTGAATTATTTTTCTGACTTTTTTTTAAAGACTTGAATGCCTTTCGAAAGTCTATGCGAAAAGCTGTATGACTGGAGTGGAGATAATAGGCATTTGTATGTTTGATGATAAGTGTGATTGTAATCAGATCTACGAATGTCTCATAATTGGAGCCAAACTGTTGTTTGAAAATCAATTGTTTTATTTAAATCAAAAGAATAGGTTTAATGCGAAATCGTCGCTCATTAACGGCATTATAGTGTGACTTAATATGTATAATAATAATGTAGTTAACAGTCGAGGAATGGGCTGTTGGGCTGTCCCACTAACCCATATAGCATTGATTTAGGTTAGAAAACACCAGTCGTTTAAGTGCTTAACGCTAACTATATTGCTTGAGAGCTCTATATTTTCGCAAAACTTGATTAAATATTTCTACAAATTGGGTAAAACCTAATTGTAATCGTTTTTTTGTTATGTCGTGTCTTTAGGTCAGTAACGGATCCACGCGATGGCAAAAGAGTTGCGCTCAAGAAGATGCCGAATGTCTTCCAGAACCTGGTGTCCAGTAAACGGGTTTATAGAGAGATCAAAATGCTTTGCTTTTTCAAACACGAAAACGTAATTAAAATATTTGTTACAATTAAAGCATACCATGAGTACACCTCTGAATACACGATTCTCATGCATACCATTGTTTGTCTCACTTTTGACTCATCAGGTTCTTTCAGCGCTTGATATACTGCAACCGCCGCACATCGACTTCTTCCAAGAGATGTATGCATCCGATTGATGCCATTCTTGCCATATATTCATTGCTTGTTCTCTCTATTTGTTGACCAGTTATGTGATAACAGAGTTAATGCAAAGCGATTTACATAAGATAATCGTGTCGTCGCAACCCTTGACCTCAGATCACGTCAAAGTATTTCTCTATCAAATCCTTCGAGGACTCAAATATCTGCATTCGGCGCGAATACTACACCGGGATATCAAACCTGGAAATCTATTAGTTAATAGTAATTGTCTGCTCAAGGTTTGTCTCATTGTCTCACATTCCTGGCTGTGTTTGTGCTAAACCTTTGTTTGCTTTGTTTGTCTAGATTTGTGACTTCGGTTTAGCCCGAGTCGAGGAAAACGATTCGTCAAAATTGATGACACAAGAAGTGGTTACGCAGTATTACAGGGCACCTGAACTACTAATGGGTGCCCGACACTACACCTCATCCATCGATATCTGGTCCGTCGGCTGTATTTTTGCCGAACTCTTGGGCCGAAGAATACTATTTCAGGCGCAGACACCCATTCAACAGGTTTTTATTGGCTGTCATTTGCGCTCAAATGATGTAATACTGAAATCGGGATGTTTTTTGTGTTATACAGTTGGAACTCATAACAGACCTCTTGGGAACACCCGAGCCCTCAGATATGCGTTACGCGTGCGAAGGCGCCAGAATACATATACAGCGCCGGCCCTGTAAGGCATCATCGCTGGCCTCGTTGTATAACCTCTCGTCTCAGGCCAATCACGAGGCCGTTCACCTATTGTGTCAAATGTTGGTCTTTAATCCCGTAAGTGATGCTTATTATTGGAAATGAATTTATTTTAATTACAATTAATTGCTCCGAAAGGATAAGCGAATTAACTGCTCGAATGCGTTGAGTCACCCGTATCTGGAAGAGGGCCGACTCCGGTACCACTCGTGTATGTGCCGGTGCTGTCATTCCGTGGGCTCCAGTCGTCGATACGTCACCGATTTGGAGCCTTTGGCGCAATCGGCCTTTGATTATAGTTTTGAGAAAGACTTGTCTTCTGTCCATACGGTTAAAGGTGTGTTCACTTCGCGGACAAAACCATTAGTGAATGAATTAACGGCTCTTTTTGTGTTGCCATTTGCAGAACGACTCCACAAATTAATTCTCGAGAAGTGTTCGCTGTCTTCGCTCTCGAATCGGGTGCCGCTCTGTATTAACCCACACTCGGCTGCCTTTAAGAGTTTCGCGAGGTTTGCATTCATTGATAGCTCACTTGTGGCCATGAAATTGACATTAATGTTGATTCTTTTTGTCTGTTTGTCCGTTCAGTTCGACTGTCGCTCATCCATCAGAATTACCGCCTTCTCCTCATTGCTGGGAATGACTATCATTTCAATAGTTTTCGTAAATTTAATTTTTAATCAACAATTGTGTGGCCATTCTGTCGACCATTGGCTTCGTTTGACTGCACCGCCGAAGAAGTCGTCTTCGGGAGAGCTGTCGTCGAATTAGTTTTATATTTATTTATTTAAAACCCGAACCAATCGGTGGACGAATAGCGACGTCCTTTCGAAAGCACTTAATATTTATCTTAATTTTTAGACTTAAATCCCATGAATAATGTGTTTTTATATATTTTAATTGCAATGACGAGCGAATAATGGGAATCCGTTATGGATTGACAATTAGTTTGTACATAGTTTTTACCTCTCAATCAAGTGATTACTGATTAGATACCGAAGTTTTAAGTAATTCTCGTATGTATTCCTAAACATCCCTTTTTTAATGTCTTATTTGAAAAGAAAACTTTGAGTTATAATGAACTGAAACCACGGCTTCGATTGATTATAACTTAAAGCCATTTAAGTTGTGATTAGTTTTGAATGACAGCTGATAATGGCGTCTCGTTTGCTGCCGACTCCAAGAATTGGTTCATTTAATGTCCACCGATTGGATGTCTAGTATTCGAGATGCCATTTGAGCGAAACGTTTGACTTTATTTTGAAAACCAAGTGTTGCCATAAAGTAATCGAAAAGTTTTTCCAAAGATATTCAGTTATAGTCAAGGATTGAGTAGTAATTAACGGGAAATTCGCTATTGATATGTGCCTCAAACCAACAGATGATATACGGGTTATGCCTGTAATCTCTGTGCGACTCATCTTTTTTTATAGCAGACATACCAGACCTCTAATGATTGCAATCATATGCATAGATCTCTGATTACAAATAGTCATTCATTTGTCATCAAAACTCATTTCATTTCATCACTAAAAACTACACTCTGAACTAATCGTAATAATGGACTCATTTTATAGCATTAAAAACAATCATTGTATGATATTTTGGTCATAACTTTTCAATCAATTGTTAGCCATTGAATGTGGATTTCTTACGGCCACCCCACCCGTCAGTCCGTGTTTTGTGTTACCCCTCCAACACCTGTGACTGTATTTACAAATTAGTAAATTCGATAGCAAATTGTTTTATACATACCTGTAATATCTATACATACATATAGCACCTGTATCTCACATACTGTGCCTCACAATTCTGTCCATATTCTCGATTTACTAATTACTCGTATTTACAATCGAAAAGTGTATTGAATTGAATTCAAACGAAACGTGTCCTAAATCTAAACATTTAGCGCTAAATAATTGTTTTGATTGTAATTTAAATATTTAGTTAAATTAATGTAAAATACAGTGAAGTAATGAAGTATTCAATTGAGAGACTGGTATTGAGCTCTTGAGCGACAAACAAGCCGTACCACTGCCACTGCCACTACCGGCGCGACCACTGACTTAACCATTGGTGTCGCCCCGTAATTATGATTATCGATGTGTTCTGAAGCTTAGTATTGGTTCACGATTTACTGATTATTATAAAACTTTAATGGGATTAGTGTTTGGTCTGTAATGTATCGATGAAATGGGTTTTCATGTCTTACCATTCGTTTGCGGATATAATCGGCAAAAATATTCATAGATTTCCAGTTAAACAATATTTTCATCAAATTTTTGCTCATAATTACCATTCAATTGTATATCACTTTTTTACGATAATAAATAAATTTATAAATTTCAAACAAAAACAATTGCTGTCATTTTATTTAATTTATGCACATTTCTCATAGTTTCATGATATTATACAATACATTCACTACACTCTAAATGCATTTTACATTCACTTTTCTATTCGTGTATTAATTGTCGTCTATTGTCATCCAATCAATCATTTATTGACAAACGCTTCGCCTTTTTTGATACTACTCTTGAGCTCCGCGATCGCGCCTTTCACCAGATTTTGCTCGAATTCCGACAGTTTTCCTAACCCCAGGTTCTTCTCGACGCCGTTTTTCTGTCAATAAATATATGGCTTTCAGTACGAATTGATTGGCAAATAATGTTTGACTATGTCTTACGCCTAAGACTAATGGTGTGGAGAAATACGCGGCTTCCGTGACGTCCGACTTGACGAACGCGCATTCAATCACTTCTTTGCCATTCAGTGCCTCCAAAAGCTGTTCCAAAGATAATCCGATAGTTAATTATCTGTCAATAAATGGCAGTCAACTCACAGATACGGCGAACCGGGCGCCGGCGAACGCCATCGACAGAGTGGCCGAACCCTAGAGAGTCATAAAGGGGTCAATCAATACGTGACTGAAAGGGTACGGTATATAGAGTGCGCGCCTACCGTTCCGGCCTTCGCCTGCACCACTTCGGTGCCGGCGTCCTGGATCCGTTTGGTGAGCGCATCGAGTTTGTCGTTGGGGAACGACACCGACGGGTTGCTGCGCGATATCAACGGAATTATGGTAATGCCTGCGTGTCCTCC